CGTAAACTCCCCAGCAGCCCAAAGTTCGTCATCGCGGTACCGAGTAACCCAAATTGGCTTGGACGCAAAGACTCCGCGTCGATGATTGAAAGTCTCGGGCCCCATCATCAGCATCTGGCTAGGCGAAGCATGAAGCTTGTACCCAGCCATCTTTCCCGATACCTCATGCCTGCGAGCCGGATTGACAATTTTGTACGTGCGAGCTTTTATTAAATCGAGATCGTAACCACCTGGTGAAACAATAGGTGTGGTATTAAGTCGGAACGCACATCCGTAGGGGTCGAGCTCCGGATCGTCTCGTACAGGAATACAGTCCTCGTATACAATTGTGTTCTTTCTTGCCCCATCAAGGATCGGATCTATTCGGACACAAAAAAGATGTTGATGGTTAACGGCCAAGACTCCGGGTGCCACAACTGTTCCCCAAGGCGACGACTTGAGTTCGGGGCGGATTGGCATAGTGGAGACAATGCCAGTTGCTCGCACCTCGATGTGAATATTCGCGGCTTGATCCAGGGCATACGCCAAGATGTATTCGTAATTGGCTACAGTGGAAGTGCACTGGACAACGAGCTTCCGGTCTCGGACTGTGGAAGATTTCATGTTGCGAAAGTTCGTGTGTTTCCAGCCAATTCCATCATCGATCTCGTGCATGCAGACAACGTTCGGCATAACAACAGGTTCTCCTGTTGCTGAAACCCGAACGCCATCAAAGTAGGCAATGTGGCCTAAACAGTCACAGCCAAGAGACAAGCTATTGGAAGTGAGACCGAAGCCGGAGTCGCCGAGGTCGAACGCTTGCTTCCGGTGGTAAGGTGTTCGAGGATCGCCGTAAGGTACCGTCATCTCACTCATCGATACCCGGTAAAATAGAGGCCGGCCTTCGTAACGTACGTCGTGTAGAACTGGACCTTCACGTAGAGACCATCCCAGTTGAAATTGCCATCTCTGCCATGATACCTTACGATTGTTGATGTCGAATGAAGGCCCTTCTGGTTGGGCGACTTGTAGTGGTTTTAGGTCTTTTCTAAAAGCATCGGGTCCGAGAATATTTGCGCTGTACTCAACTGGCTTGACAGGTACCCAGGGTTGTGTTTCATCGTCAATTTCGTCATCGATCCCCAAAGGAAGCTTTTGCAATTCAACCAGCTCAAGAGTCTGAGCATCGAAGATAGGTGCAAGAGGGAGGGGGATGGAGTAGTGGTTGGCCTCATCGTCGTCATCGAGGGCAAGATACATGTAGCATTGGAAGAGACGGCGTCTCTCCTCGACATCGTCAGTTCCGTAAGCCCAAGGGTCATTGAGAACTCGTGCTCTATATCATATCATGTTAACTAACTCTGGCATATCAAAATCAAGGGAATCAGAGCCTCACCCTTCGGGGAGTCTCAGCTTAGCGACCTCAGCCACGACATCTGGATGGGCATTGCAAGCTGTGGTAATGAGGTCGTATTCAACCCAGTCCACTGGTCCCTGGGCATCAGGAAGGTCGTCAGTCTTCTCGAGAGTTCCGCGGGTTATGTTGATGATTGCTCTGCTCATAAACTCCCTTTGCTTCCGTTGATAGTAGATCCTAGCCCTACGATCGGGCATAGGGCCGCGTTCCAGGAGGTGAACCAAGGTCTCATCTTTCGAAGGCTCGGCGAGATCGATTACTTTGAACCTGATCTCATCTTCCTGCAGGCTCAGTCCTTTGAACAGGGCGCGGGACGCTTGACGCACTTCGTTGATCGAAAGGGGGTCAAGGGGGTGTTTGGCCATGGTGACAAGTTAATAAGCCTGATTACAGGCCAAGAAGTGCAGTGTTTGAGGGTCAAGATGCGGTTGCGTTCGATTGGCAGCACCAGTTTAAAATACTACATGTTCTCATACGAACACTTGCAACTTTTACTCCCTTGATACACTGCTTTGAACTTGTATACATTACGAAAGATAATTGACTACCCAAAGTCGTTCGATTCGTGTTGCGGACTTACATGTTTCCCAAAAGGGACATTCTCCCAGCAGCGACCCACCACTCCCCAAAACGGAAAGAGGGGCAACTTGTTGTCTTCACGCGGGGTGAGAACAATCCCATTTTAATTAGCAAACAGAAATAAGTGCATTCTCAGACTCTTTTGTTTTGGGACAATGGCAGCTGAACACGTTCATCAGCTAGCAAACCAAGCGTATCTCCTGGCTTGAACAGGAAAGACATCCAGCCGACCTCTTCATAATGGACCCCACGTCAGCACTGCGAAGGAATACAGCGCAACGCGGGGTAGCCCAATATGGCCACTATTACCGATCTTACATCTTGCGGCAACCGCGAGTGATCTAACAATACCAGATCTTTGGGAGAGATATATGTCGTATGCTCCCGAACTTTGCTTCGCTAGATATGTTCAGAAGCTTTGTATCCAAATGCCAATTCATGACAGCTTCAACAATTTCATCCTACCATGTCTGACTTCAGAGGTGTCGATCTTACCGGTAAGACAGCGATTGTCACCGGCGCTTCACGGTGAGGAATCGGCCGCCTTTGTCGGGCTTTTTAGACTCCCGCTAATATTTTTGATTTCACAGTGGAATTGGCGCCGCGATTGCAAAACAACTTGGGAGGCGAGGTGCCAATGTTGTCGCCAACTTCGTGACAGACAGCAGTCGCCAGCGAGCCGAAGACATCGTCAAGGACATTCAACAACACGGGTCGAATGCCATTGCGATCCAGGCAGATGTCGGGAAATTATCTGAGATCTCCAGACTCGTTGACGCTACGCTGAAGTTTAGTGGAACTGGCAAAATCGAAATTCTGGTTCATAAGTCAGTTTCCGCTCTCGATGTCTATGGCTTGGTTTTGACCATTATGTGTCTGGCTCTGATAATTTTGCTCTACTTCTCAGCGCGGCTTTGGGTGTTGACGCAAACCTCGACGAAGTCACCGAAGACTTGTATCTCACCCATTTCGACACCAATGTGAAGGGACCAATTTTTCTGACCAAAGCTGTCGTGCCGCACATTGCTCGAGGCGGTCGAATAGTTTTTGTTTCTTCCGCAGCGGCTCGTCTTGGGGTCGCTGGACAAACCGTATATGCTGCCACAAAAGCGGCCAACGAGGCACTTGCGCGTGTGTGGGCCAAAGAACTTGGGCAAGAGCATGGCATTACTGTCAATTGCGTCAATCCTGGCCCGGTGGCTACTGGTAGGCATCTCACATCCAAGACGCCACTCGCAGCAAGACTGACATGTCCTGCGACGTAGATCAGTGGAACGAAAGCGATGACCAGTTTAGAAAAGACATGGAGCCCTTGATCGAGTCTACACCGGCTGCAGCGAGAATCGGAGAAGTGGATGATGTCGCACCTCTCGTGGCATTCCTTTGCAGCAGTGACGCTCGGTGGACTACTGGATCAGTCCTCTGTGCAAATGGGGGTTTGTATAACTAGACGAGAAGTACGCCGTTAACATCAGATGCGCCGATCAACGATGAGTTGTATAGCATTGCAATTTTGAAAGAAGTCGATACTAAACAACGCATCATGCCAACTACTGAATCGTGGCTTGGCCTTTCCAGACACACTGATGTGCCTGTAACTCAGTCCAGCCCCTGCGTCGCTTCCATCTGGCCCATGCCAAACCATGTCTGAGTGGGTATTATAACTCTCACAGTTGAGAGGGCTGGATGACAACGATCAAATGGCGCTTCCTTCCATATAAAGCCTCTCTTTGGTATCTGCTCACTATCAAACTTGGCGGTTGTTGCCCAGATTTAGTCACGTGGGTGTAGTATGGCTCATTTGCAAATTCCTTCCGAATCCCGCGCTAAGCTGTTTGAACAAGTTGTATCAAGGTTCCCATGACATATCATGGGCAAGCTTCAAGGTGCCGGGACTCAGGCATCTCCATTAACAATGTCATTCTTTAAGACACGTTTCCAGGGTGAACTTTTGAAACTGCCGTTCGGTGGCTAGGGAATCTTTTCTTCATCGCATCTTCCGGCGGTCCTGTTTGTGATATTGAGAGTTGGTGAGCCATTTTGGCACACCTCTGTATACTTAGTCAAAAGAAAAGGTATGCGTGTTGCTGCTGCATACTCTCAGAGCAGGTCTGCATTCGAATGAGTATAGATGTTGGACCAAGGGACAATTCGGGTCTTTACTCACAAATTCCATCCAGGGAACATTCGTCCAGCCCCGGGTTTTCAGTCTTCTTTCCTCCCAAACCCCTTCAAGGACTTCCATCATGGCTGCATGTTGAAATCCCGTGGAGCGTCGAATATTTTCGATACAAAGACTGGCGTAGTGTATCTGGTGTCTTTCAGATGTCTCGGTTGCCGCCAGAAATAGAGGGAACAATAGCCGCTTGAAGAATGGCGAGTCCATTGAAACGTTTGCACAGCAATCCAGGATTGCTGATACCGATGACCTGATCCTAGGGTCTTCGCAGGGAATTACAAACGTATCAGGCCATCGTAAGATTCTCAGCAGACTAGCATGTCTAAAAGCCTCCGCGAGCTGTCTCCACTCCGGATGTGGTGTGGGATATTCGATCATGTTGAGATCGAGGTCGCGAAGAAAGCTTTCTGCCTCATCTAATCTGGTCTGAAAGTCGACGGTAGATAACAATCCCTGCATATTCTGCTTGGCTGCTGCTATTACGTCCCCGATTCTGAGGAATATGACTGCGGGACAACCAACCAAAGTGTGCAGGGCTGCGTGTGGAGTAGTAATGTTTGCAACACATTTCCGGACATTCTCGGAGTAGGTGAGCTTCTCAGCACCACTGAACCCTCTTAAGACATCCAACCTGATCAACATGTTTGTCATTAGAAAGTTTCGAGATCGGAGACGAGTACTATACTTGCCATGATAATGCAGACAAAAAGAAGATGGTTGCTGCAGACCGCTCTACCCTTCCTAAAGGAGATGCAATTCTTCCACAGAGGAATGACACGCCATTCAAATGAACAGCATGGGCAGATATTCCCAGCTCGCATATCTAGATATCATGCATGTGATTGCTTAGCCAACGAGACTCGCGCTGCGGAGAAACTTGAAATGGGTCTTGGAGCTTACATCATGAAGTACCAAAAGGAAGATTATTGCTAGTGCAGCCTCTTCTTCAGCTTCTGTAAGTCCGTAGATTTCTTCCTTGATTAAAAGGGAGCTTAGACCGTTCAATGCAGCAACACGGTGTTGTAAGGCAGTGGCCATGTCAACCTGGTTAGCACCTGATGGTGATAGGTGCAGATGGCACGCGGTAAGTCCCAGGACTGCATGGAGAACACCTGTGTGATTGTAGGCCAGTGGGAGGACATGTACGCGGAACGGGTTGTCCACGCCTTCAACGACAATTGTTAGATGATGGCTCAGCTCTCTGTCGACTACAAACAGTTGTCAGAAACGATGATGTCACACTGGCTGAGAGAAAATGGAATATGGAAGGTTCCGGGCGGCCAAGGAGCAACTTACAGTAAACAAGCAATTTCTGGCTGTTACTCGTGAGCAGTAGATCGTCGACAGGGTGCCCGGTGATTGTCGCCGGTGACGGTGCGCCAAGAGATCGATCTTGGGGCGAGGCTGGAGAAGCACCTTGTGACAAAGTCTGGAGGAGGCGGCGGCTTTGGCTTGGGTGATCTGAAGAAAGTGAACTTGGAGTCGATGTTGGTGAGCTCAGGTTTTGGGTCGGAGTAAGCTCGTTGGTGGGTAGGACATCAGGCTGAACGCGCTCTTGCTCCGCTTCTGGGTCCCGCTCATCGCCAGCGGTCATCAAACTGTGCGTCTGTAATGATTCACAGAATTGGAATCGAGGAGGGTAGCCCTCACAGTGTAAGCCCTTTGACTTGCATCGATTGCAGACAGGGCGCGCGCGGTCACACTTGCGGCACTTCTTTCTACAGGTTCCGCATGCTGGATCTGTTGATGGTCAGCGACGAAATCTGAGCGGGAGCTGAGGTATAATCGGGTAGTAAATCGCACGCTCAGAAATCATGAGCGACAGAATGTCTCGCTGCTGAAACTTGTTCCCAATCTGGCTCAACAAGACCCGGGCAGGGACTGAGTGCCCTCTAGTGCAGTTTTCGGTACAAGACTCAGAGCAAGAGAGGGGAGAACCGAGCTGACCTTTTCTGACGGCTTTCGAGCCCCTGGCCATTGCGATGTTGGCACGCATTTCGCATCCGAATCTCGTAGACCTTGTGGTGAGGTATGATCACCAGATTTGTACGCAACTATCCGACCAAATGTTGGGAGCAAGTGGAAGAAAGGCCGGCGGAACAGAGAGTCTCGCCCGGTGTTGGGTTCATGTTGGTTGTTCAGGATTGGACGCTTGGGCAATCCATGTATTCCGTACAGCCATAAACCTACCTTGCCGTAGAGAGGAGCGGTACGTAGTTAGTGCAGGTGTGCAGCCTGCAGGTAAGCAGCATCCGCTAAGGTGGTAGTGGAGTCATGACAAAGGAATCTGAATTCCGCGCCGGGGACAGTCACCCTTAAGACAACGTGTTGTCCCCGGTCTGGCGCCTCATGCTAGCACTCACATGATGTGAAAGCATTTCAAGGTCGGTCGAACAATGGTCATCACTAGCTTCCTCTCATTTACTTTTGGTTTCGGGTAACGTTGGGAAGACTCGCTCCAGGCTTTGCCACTCCATATGATCCCGAATTACATGGAGTTACCGTGATGACCGTTGCCAGTGAGGCGTTAAGAATGATGCTTATGGCCGACACCTTTTAGGAAATAGCTTTCAGGTCATTTCATAAAAGATTCCAATGTACTAGAATGCAAAATGATCGAAGTCTAGTGCTTTCATAAGTAAGGTTTGGCAACGGTGTAATTTTAACTGTTCCCTTGAAAATCATGTAGGCTTTTGATAACCGATGAAACATAATCTCACGCTAACTATCTAAAGCAAGGCACTTCCTGAAGCAGCAAAGGGCTACTCTCGACAGCCCCAAGCTGAGAAGCTGAAGCAAGGCTTCCAATCTCAAGTGACTGCGATTTAGTTGTTCATCAAAAGTCGGATGGACGCCCGTCGCCCTTCAACTCGGGACGGAGCACAAAGATTGGGTCCATCTGATCAACGTACCCACAGGCCGGATCGCTCATTGAATATCCCATAAACTCCTGGATGGGTTGATCCAGCTTTTTTGCAATATCTTGGGGCACAGACAAGAATTGATTCTCCTCCTGTCGAAGATAACCTCGAATAGAGAATGTGGCAAACATCAGTCGTCTCTCATTCTTTGTTGTGTTGTGGCCTCCGGCATGGTACGCGGATGCCAGCATGATGAAGGCATCGCCTTTCTCCATCTCGGCGTAAATGCACTCCTCTACTCGAGGCGGCATGTGTCTATCGGTGCCCCTTCAAGATCATGGCATCAGTTCATCTTTCTTCCTCGGTCGGAGGCCAGTTCGATCGAGAATGCGTCGACTATCAGCGCCCTAGCGCATGGATAAGGGACATTATTACTTACCACAAATGACTCCGGGGAATGAATTGCGTTCCACCGTTCTCCTTGGTGACTTTACAGCCAGCCACGAAGAGCCCAACAGCTGTTTCCCTGCCCTTGTCTCGCTCATCATCCCATTCACTCACCTCTTGATGATAGTTGTGGCTGATGTAGTCGTCTCGGTGCAAGGGCTGAGCTTTGCCCCCGGGCCCAATGCTCATAGCAGTACAGGAGTGAACATATGGCTTTGATACAGATTCCTTCTTCTCGTTTCCCCACCAGAACCAACTTCGGGTGGTCAAGAAGTGCTCGCACACCTTTTGGTAGACTGGGTTCATGACTTGTGTTTTGGCATACGTAGGGCTGAGAGCCAACAAGGCTGGTGCCCGCTGAGTCTCCTCTGTGATGATCGTGTGTCAGCACAAATACATCAGTCCGTCTTGACGTAGGCACTATGAATATTTACTTGGAAAGAAGGAGCCATTCCATTCCACATCATTTTCAAGGCGTTCGCGGCATTCTTCGTGAGCTTTGTCGACATCAGCGACAGGGACCAGATCTCTAACGAAGACGCCCCCGTCACGCTTGAGGAGGTAGATGATGTCGTCCAATGGTGTGTCGGCGGAGACCTTCTGGACCTCAGGACCATATCTAGCCCTCATGTCCGACACTGTGGATGAAGACATGATTCGATTTGAATGTCCGAAAACAATAGGTATGTCGAGAACAAACAATGTACCGAGCTTAGTCGTCGGGTGCTCAGGGCTATGGGAACTTTGCAAAGACAAAATGGTTTATAAACCACGAGGATTTGGTGTACAAGAGCTCATGTAATTACTCCGTAACGTAGCTTGGGCATGATGGGGGATAGTATCCATAGTCGCAAGTTGTAACAGGGCTATGCTTGCCACTCCACACAGTAGTGTTAAGCTGGCTGCCGAAGTTTATCCTCTTATTCAGGAAGGTTGAAGATACTTCCTAAAATGGAATAAGAACACACTCATGCGAGATGGGTGGGTGGGGTCAACAAGAGCCATGAGCATGCGCTATTCATTTTGAACCATGTAATATGCAGCTAACAACTCCGGTCTAGCTCCGCATGGTTCGATGAAGTAGAGAAACACAGAAACATCAACTTTCAATCTGCACCTATTGTCATCGTGACTGAGTCAATGTGGTGATTCTGATTTTCACATGACGACAAGAACCCAAAGGGCATAGATCAATCATGTCTACCAGCCGGTTCAGAATGATCAAATCCACAGATAGGGCGCCTGGTGCATTGTTGCAGTATGTGCAAGCTTCATTAAGCTATCAGACACTGTTTGGAGATTGAGGATCCGGAGATGGGCCTCGACACGAGGGCTAGACGAAAGTATTGGGCGACCGGTTGCCTAAATATACGCGAGCCCGTTCTCCCCGCCCGTTCCCTCGATACTGTACCGCCTCAGCCATAGAAGGAGCGACATCGTGGTTTATCATTGCAACCCAGATAAGGCATGCAGCTGAGCCAGGATTGGCGGAATTTCTTTAGTCCATTGCAACACCAATGAAGGTGTTATATGATAGATTTCATATGAAGTATAAAAACTGAAAAGAGGCTCGCAAGCACCCGACCAGCAAGTAAAGGCAACGTGTCGTACCAAATCCTCCTGATATCCTCTACAGCTAATTCTACGAGGCACCATGAGAGAGAACCATTTGGAATCTTGCAACTCGTGAACCATGGCAAGATAGCTGTTTCTAATCGCGTAACATCTGTCAGCTCAGGGAAAGACCTGAATAGATCAGCAGCAGATACAAACCCTACCCTCCTTCCCTCTAGATCACATGACCAAGATAGCATCTCTGACGGTACAGTCGGCGGCCCGGTCGATCTAGACGATGCCATCTCGAGGGCAATAGCAGTACCGTAGCCATGCGGCGCCAGTTCAGCTACCTAGGTGTCAGCTCTAGGCCTATGGTTCTCCATCACCAACTCATGGACTGGATGCCTTGTACAGTGTCGAATATCACGGATGGAATTATGAGATAACTGCTTTAACAGAGCAACTTCCAATAAAATCCGATTTACTGAGAGCCGTAACCTTGCTTCTTCGGCCTCTTGGCTGCTTTCGTGGCTCACTTCATCACTACCCTTGGTCTCGGTGAAATTGCTTTAGATTTTCTTGCAAGTTGACTACAATAATATTCCATGCTTCCAGTGCACCTCAGTTCATAATACCTTGGGCTAATAATTGATCTTACGGTAACAGTCAAGCAGTGATCAATATCATTTTTACTACATCACGGCACCTGCCATTGGCCTATATGAGATGATTCACGGAATTTCAGTTTGGATGGATGCCGACTCTGGCTTGGTGAATCGCCACGTCCGTTGTTCTCTGGTTTTTCTATGCATGTGAGCCCGACGAAGCTGGTTAGATGCTAGCAGACGCCATATCAGGACTGGGACTAAACATATCACCCTTATCCTCATCGCATACATTCTCCTTGTAACTTGTAAATTAGGTTTGTAGAAGCCTCTGGCCCTCTACTGGTGCATCTTGGGCCGAAGTTGACTTTCTTCAGTCTGCGTCCCATCTCAATGTTATGACCTCAGCAGTTTTGTTCCTGAGTATCAATGTATGTGATGCCACAGGGGTTCCTTCTGTTCCAGGGCCGGGGCAGATCACTTTTTTCCTCGCTATCTGAACCTGAGCCGGTCCGATGTCGTTTGTAACATGTTTTCTGTCCTGTGGAGGGTCGTTCTGAGGGCCCCTATCTGCATGCCAACAGCGTTGCCGGAAAAGCTGGGTCCATGAACTATACCCGAGTCTTGGCTTTTGAGTATTGTGCTCCCGTCGCGGTTCTTTGAAACAAAAGAACTTCCAAGGGCCCATCAATGACTGGGATATGGTCAAGGTCCTCAACTCGGCTGGCACAGTGCAGAGTGTCAAAAATACTTGATAATAGTACCTCTGTCGCTAGTAATGAGAATGTTTTGGGTTCTTATTGTTGAGTAGCGTCAATGTCACGTATGACTTTTACAGTCTGGCTGGGATAATACCTCACGACAGACTTTTCTGCGCCGCAACCGGCCTGCGTTGACGCAGGGGCAGCCCGGCCGTTCCGAGACGAGAAGATTGCTCTTGCGTCCACTATGTGGCAGGGCGGGAATCGGGCTGGCCTTTACATTCGAGGTGGCGGATGCCATAATTTCAACCGTCTTCGAAGGTCCAACGGCTCTTGAAACTGCTTCATCTCGGGCAAGGGAAGTGTGACAGAATAGCTGTTTTAATGTCAATAGGATTGGCTGATATGCTTTAACAAGTGATCAGAATTGTCCATTTTGGGTATTATTCAATAGGGGCCAAGAGACCACACACATCCCAGTTTTCAGCCTTTGGTAATCTCGTCTTCCTCGTCCTCCCATTCGCCCGTATCCTCCATGGCCTCATTGACCTGGTATTCGGCATCCCCAGCCAGACCCTCGCCGTCAAATTCGTCGTCATAGTCCATGTCCACGTCACTGTCATCAGCCTCCTTGCCCTTGCCGGCATTGGCTTTCCGCTTCTTTTCGACGTTCTCCTTTTGTTGTTTCCGCCTGGCCTCCTTCTCCTTCTGTCTCTGCTCCCAGCGCTTCTCCAACTCCTTTACCTCCTCCTTGGACTTGTGGACATACTCGTGCCACATAACCTTTCCAGAGCACAAGCCTTCCTCAACCTTGGTCAGACGCAGGCGCATACGAGGACCTAGCTCGACGAGCTTGACCGCACGCTTTTCAACGGCATCATCCTCATCGGCCATATCGTCGTCGACCGGGGCAGCGCTCTTCCTTATCTTCTGAGCCTTCTGTTCCTTGACCTCGACTTCGGCATCACTGTCGAGCTCGCTTCCGCTGGTTGCATCGGTGAGATATCCGTCCCCGTTCTCTCCACCCTGAAGAAAGTCGGCGATATCTTCCAGCTTTCCAAGATTCGGCACACCCCCCTTTCCGTTTGTCTTTGAAGCCAACAGCTTCTCTGCCTTTTCGAGCCTTCGGAGTGGCCTTGAGATTCCTGTTGACCGTGTGGTAATGGCGTAGTGCCGCATGTTGATAATAAAGGATCCCTCGTTCTCGGGGTCCTTTTCGCGGTTAAGCAGTAACGTGCGCTTAATCTTGCTCAGGGGCGTCGCGTTCGGGTTCAGCGGAGGGAAGACACTGGACCAGACGGAGGTCACCAAGGACTCGAGATGTTTGGGCACCTTGGATGTTGCGTCGGCGTCGGGGGTATGGAAGTTGTTCATGACGAGCTGGGATGGTTTAGCAAAATTCGAGCAAATAGGGCAATTGATGTCGTACCAATGGCGGAGCAATCTGCTCTTTTCCGCTGCCCTTGGGGCGTCTCTGGGACTTCTGTACATCCTTGCACAGAGAGTATTTCTCGACTCGGAAGTTCAGTGTAGGGCCTCGAGGTGTGAGTGCCACGCGCAAATTGGTATTGCCGCTCTCTGATCGCGAAAAGAGCATCAGGTGAGTGACGCCGAGGGGGCCGGTCATGACAACGTAGTCCTTCAATCGGTTTGCTCTTCTCTCCTTCATTCGACTGGCAGTCCCCGGCTCCATGACCTTTCGGAAATCGGCAGCAAGTTGGCTCACGCTGGAGCCAACCTCACCCGCGCCGATGCGGATGACCATGCTCTTGGGATCCTTTGCGCCATTGTTCTCGCCGGCGGTGACAGGATTGCTGGCACCGAGGTGCGTCCTCTTCTTGACTCTCTTGCGCGCCATCTTTTGATGGGTTCGGGGTGGTAATTGGCTTGGGGTAAGAAAACCTTGACGTCGTTGAGTTGTCGAGGATCCAGAATCCGCAATTCGAAAAGCAACTGGGCCTTGGGCGGACCTGGGTGCTTTGGTTGTCTGCAGGAAATTTTTTGGCGGGGCCCGGTCGATAAGAACCAAAAAAACAGCCTTCACGTGCTGATAACACTCAGATCTCCACTAAAAACTTTCCCAGAGCGTGGGATGTCATCAGGTCGCGCCAACTGCTAAACTTTTTGCACCGAAGCCTTCGACAATCGCTTTCCTCTTTGCGCCACACCGCACAGCGAGCTGTTGACGACAAAGATGCCTTCCTCGACGACAAAAAAGGCGATATCGAAGGCGAAGATGCCTTCCTCCAAGCGACAAAAGGTGGCGCAAACGGGCTCGTCTTCCAAAGTGTCTCGCAAAGTCGAGGCGGAAGCTTCTCCATCCCCACCAACCGAATCTGAAGCCGAATCTGGTTCCGAAGACAATATCGCAGCCGATGCCGATTCCGATGTCGAGATCAATGCTGACGTTACTGCCGATGCCACTGAGGAAGTGACCAAGAGCTTCAAGGAGCTGGTAAATTGCAACCAAGACCCCTCCTTTGGCCCGTGATGGTCTCTAATGTCAATGTCCCAGGGTGTCGTCGAGTCCCTATGCGAAGCATGCGAATCTCTCGGATACAAGAAGCCCACACCTATTCAGGCTCAGTCAATCCCTCACGCCCTTGCGAATCGCGATATCATTGGTCTGGCCGAGACAGGTTCAGGAAAAACGGCGGCTGTCAGTAGACCCTTTCTTCCTTCCATACACACCTTCAGCCCACCTCGGAACCGTACCATGAAAGCCAGATAGGGTCGAGACGAACATGTAGGCTTGTTCAAGTGTCCAAGACTCTTGTGCGATTGTAATGTG